TTTTAGTGGGATAATCATGAGTTAAGATAAGTTAATAATAAATTTAGATATATAATTTTTTTTGATAACAATCTCCGGACAATTAATTTTGAAAAGCAATAGACAAAAAAGTCAGAAAGTAAAGCAGTGACTGTGAATGTTTGAATATGAAGGATAATAAAACTGGTGACTGGTTTGAATCCATGCTTCTGTGTTGTTGTTTTGAGAGTGTTGTCAGCTGAGTTTGGGGGGGGGGCGATGTGAAAGTTTTTTTTTTTATTCAGAAACAAAGTGATGATTACAAATGAAAAGACATGGACTAAGTGGCTGCGAACTCAAGTTAGGTACAACTTATATTCTCGCAGCCACTTTTACAATGAAAGAAAAATATTTTACAAGACATTAAAATATACATGAGACCTCGCGTGAGTAACAAACCTCCCATTCCAGAAGACACATACAGTTAGAATCTTTTTGTTTCTAATATATAATTTTGAGCGGCTAACATTATTTTACAGTTGGTATCATACGAACAAAGGAAACTACCGCGAAGAACTAAATATTGTATAGAAAGTGATGTGAAAGTTTGCAAATACTTGCCAATTCTCGAATGTAACGAATCTTTACTTGTATGTTCATGACCTTGGGGCTAAATGCATACATCAGAGTGTGATGTTACACGTTTATCATACTGGGTAACATGATACATAGGATAAGAATAATGTTAAAGTCTTAGGAACCACCAGAGAACATATTCTATCTAATCTAGGTCTTGAAGATTTCTTCTCTCTTTATGTATAAAGCAACTGGAGATGATTCTTAGTCAAATAGTTTTTCTGTTGTGTGGTCATTACTGGTGGACATGAGATGACTGAATGTCTTTCTTTGTTCTACCTTTACAAAATTAGTGTAAGGCCACACCAAATTAATTTCTTGGTTTAAAGATTTTTCTCGAAAAAAAATGGAGCGGGCGGGCGAAAAAAATACTGAATAATAATGAAAAAGCGTCAAGGCAAGGTAACACAGCTGGGGAAGTAAAAGAAATAAAACAGGTAAATATTTTATATGACTTAGCTTTTAATGAATCATTATCGTGATATTAAACTGTTGCACAGTGAGATTTGTGAATGAAAAAATATACAATGTCATGTGGTTCAAATTCGTTATAATCTAAACTAAAAATCACGACACACATTCCATTCAGCACACTGCATATAACTGTTACATTTTCATCAAACATCATCAGTTTTCTTACATGATTATAATTTCTATTCAAATTTACAAACTTTATATGGCATTTTGTTCACATTGGCATGGTAGAATCTGAGCCAACCATGTTCATAGGTGACTCCTCTTTCTTCATTACTAAGGCCACACTGACTTAATTTTATGGATGACATCCACACGCACAGTAATTTTCGCCTGTTCTCAAAAAAAAAAAAAAATACACGTCCTCTGAGGCTCTGGTCTGGCTCTAGGCCTGGGTAGTCCATGGTAGTTAGCGACAATACGAAGCCGGTGGTAACCCTGGAGGACGGCACCCAGGATGCCGAAGCTCCACGACTCAAGACCTCAGTACATACCTACAGTGCCGATTCATAAATTCCACCAAAACCCAGCATGTGCTGGCTTGTCGTGCTGGCTTGTCGTATACATCGCTATGTACTGACGCAAATTCACAATACCAGCATTGTATTCCTGTGGTTTAGTTTTTTTTTTCGCCCACGTGCACTAGTTTGGGGGGATCTTCAGAGGATGTCATCCATAGAATTAAGTGTGGCCTTTATACCTACATGTACTGTGTGTTTTAGTCTGTGCCCAATATATCAGCTGATCTTGTCTATTGGTTTTAACATTCAGCCTGCTAAGGTAGCTAGACTGGACCAACTTCTGTATTGTACATGGAGTTAAGCAGCAGGGAGAAGGTTAAAAGGCACCTCAATAAACATTGTTCAGCTCCAATGTTACACTGTTAAGAACCATATTAAATATCAATTTTGTTAAATCTTTTTTGTGAGTTTTTTAATGTTACAAAAATAATTTGGTGTGAATTTCCCAGCATCGAGGCACTGCCATAGGAGGACCCAAAACACCAGAAATATTATTTTCTTTTCTCACTCAGGCCACATCAATTTAATTTCTTGGTTAACGGACTCGCCGCTTCATTTTTTTCTGATTTGCAAATAAAAATAAAAATTCAGAATCAACTGCAAAATGCTCATATTTTGCCCTGAACAGTTGAAAACAGTCCTTTTCTTACTACTTGTTACAGTCATTCCATATTTCAATGCAGTGGTATCATTAAAAGTTCAAAATTCATTATTTAAATTTTGAACCGGCCAGTGGTTTGTTGACTTCATGGCTCCTATCGTACCATTTTGGGCCATTTTGATCTAGGCCTGTTTTTATTTTTTTATTTTTTTCGCCCGCCCGCTCCATGATTTTTCTAGAAAAATCCGTTAACCAAGAAATTAAATTGGTGTGGCCTCATAATCAAGTAACAAGAACAAAGGATGAACATGGAAACCTACTGGTGAAAAGCCTAATACCAGGTCAGACTGGGATTCTTTAAAACTGCCAAATTGTAGATTAAATTATATGTCATGTATAACGTTACACTACTAGCAGCAAACTGGCACTAGTATTGGATGTCAATTCTAACTACGATTTCCACAAAAAGCTCTACATTATATTCACAAAATAAAAATTTGAAGATAGCAAAACAATAAAAATACATGTGTGTAATGTAAAATCTCAATTTACAAAATGGTACAAAATGGTGCAGATGATGGTTACTGATGCTGATGGTTAGGCGGTTCTGCAGATGGTGTTACTGGTGCTGATGGTGTGGAGAGCTGATGGTTAGGTGGTTCTGCAGATGGTGTTACTGATGCTGATGGTGTGGAGAGCTGATGATGCCTCTGCATGAAGACCTGGTCAGGATCTGCCAATGTTCCGCACATTCAGGACATTCTACTGGTGGACCTGAAACTCTCCTATGTAAACTGATCTGAATTTAGCTAGCATTTTACGCTGTATTAGGGAAACATTTCCACATTATGATTATGAATTTACACTAAAACACTTAAGTTGCAGCAACTACAGAATCTCCAACTAAACACTTTATTTTGGCCACTGTCCGATAAAAGTAAAAACTAATTTAAAAGTAAAATCTTTTCACTGCCTTATTATGTTCACTGCCCTTTGACCTTCAATCCCCTGACCTTTGAACTACACTTCCCTGCCCTTTGACCAAACTTCTCTGACCTTTGACCAACAATTCCCTGACCTGTGACCCCTGACCTATAACCTGTGCTGCTGTGCCCTGATCTTCATGGTTTTTAGCTTGTTCAGGATGTCCTGAATGTCCAGAACGTCGAAGATCCTGATCAGGCGCTCCGTGCCGGCGGCGGGCGTGGGCTGGAGGTCCCGCCATCTTGCCAGGGCGACCCGCAGCTTGTCCGGGATCGGCGCGTGACGGCCCATCCCCGCCAGAACATCCAGCGCATCCTGGGGGGGGACAGGGATATACATTTTGTACTGCAGTAGATCATTTAATACATGTGTACAGGTAGATCATTTATATATTTGTACGGGTAGCTCATGTATACACCCCTTAGTATGTTCTGATGCCCCTATGTTTTGACATATGGTAAGGGTTGTCAGAATATAGGGATGTTGGAACATAGGGCTGGAACAGACTGTCACCCCATCCCACCAGAACCTCCAGCACATCCTGTGGAGGACACATGTAGGGGTTTTCTTTTGCACAACCAGTATCGTCAAAGAGCTCTGCCACTTTGAAACTTTATTTGATAGAACAATATGGCAGGAGTAACTCCTGAATTGTGTTGCAATGTACAGCAGTCTAAAAGTTATCATCATCAGATTAGAATAAAATGCATAAGTCATCCTTCAAATATTGTACACAGTCATAATGTGGTGTACACGATTGGGATTGTGATCTCACCACTAAAGCAGACATCGGCAGAATGTAGGGACGTCTGTGTAGTGAATACTCTGGTGTCAGAACTGGAAGGCTACATGTAAGTGGTCAAATTCTTCCATGTTGCTGAATTTGATGTAATGACAATTGATTTAAAGCTGTGAAAATGTAGTTTCTCTTTTGACCCACCTTGGGTAGTCTGAGTTTGGGCAGTACAGTTGTGTAGACATCTTTAGTTGTGATGGAGGACTGAACACACTGCACCATCTTCTGTAGCAGCAGCTCTGGGGGAGAATAACACACAAACTTCAAATTTGGAAATCAAAATATATTCCACTTTTCTGATATAAAAGCATTCATTGCAAGAAGCAATTGTTACTAAAATTAAACTCAATGCAGTGATTTGATTTAAAGTTCAAAATTTTTCGCCCTGTCGCTTCATAGTTTTTATGAAAAAATCTGAGAACCAACAAATTAGATTGGTGTGGCCTAAGAAACAGTAAAAACAGTCCTACCGTCTCTCTGTTCTGCCTTCTTCAGGTACCGGCCGATGGGGGTGACCTTCCCTCCGTCACACACCACGGTGGGGGGTCGGGTCAGCGGGTTCCCGGTCAGGTTCAAGTCCACTTCTGGGGAGGCAGTGGAGGGCAGATGTTTTAGTGTACAGGAGTAAGAATATTTAGTCTCAGTACCGGCAGGATCCTAAGGAACAGCCAGGCCATGAGTGCTCCCAGGGCCAGGACAAACCGGCTCCAGCAGTCCTTTCTCCACAGGGCCATAGCCCTATACAACAAAGAACTGTCACATCACTAGTTTTATCTTTCCTAAACCTCATCTGTATATAGTTTTTTGCTTGGTACAAATTTTTTATTTATTATAGTGTATATGAGGGTGTGTATATATTGTTTGCCTTGCCTATTGTAACTTTTTTTCTGTACGCAAACTCTTTCAATTCAGGGATTCTCATCCCTGCTGCAAGGTTTGCTTTTGGTGTTTGAAATAAATAAAATCAAATTTGAGTTCTTCCACCAATCTCTACAGTAGTTAAGCGCCGTAGGTTAAGCCTAGCCGTCCATGTTACTCGGCATGGTGAACTGGGTGGAAAACTGCTTCTCTGGTCTCCGGAAGCAAAAAGGAGAAGAGGTTGTATACTCTACACTAAAGGACATTATAGAGCTATAGACTGGTTTGTATGGAAAAGAACTTGTAGAAATGATGTACGATAGAAAACACTGGAAGCTGAACTATGTTAACGTTAATGCTTCAACTCTCTGAGTATGATTATGTATGACATGTATGTATGAAGTTCTTTCAATTATTGACATCCCTTTTATTACAATACCATTTAAAGCTAGATGAGTCAGTGATATTTTCCAACGACGCTTCATTTTTTTTTCTGAAATAATCCGAGAAACAACAAATTAAATTGGTGTGGCCTAAAAGTAAGTACCGGTGCAATAGCTCAATTGGTCGCTTTGTAACCGGGAGGTCGTGAGTTCAAACCCTGGTCGAGTCATACCAAAGACTTTAAAAATGGTACACACTTCTTTCTCTGCTTAGCACTCAGCACATATGAGAAAGAGTGTGAAGGTCACAAGCACACAGCACTACAAGCGGACTAGCCCCCTGATGTAGTGCATTGCACAACTGTGTGTCGCCCAAGGGCTACAGAAATGGGAGATGGGCACAGGTTGCCCTGCATAAGGGCACGGGAGACCTTTCTTTCCTTTCCTTAAACAGTAACAGCTTAGGCCACACCAATTTAATTTCTTGGTTAACGGATTCGCCCGCTTCATCTTTTTCTGATTTGCAAATAAAAATAAACATTCAGAATCAACTGCAAAATGCTCATATCTTGCCCTGAACAGTTGAAAACAGTCATTTTCTTCCTAGTTGTTACTGTAAACAGTTATTCCATTTTTCAATGCAGTGGTATCATTAAAAGTTCAAAATTCATTGTTTAAATTTTGAACCAGCCTGGTGTGTTGACTTCATGGCTCCTATCGTACCATTTTGGGCCATAATAGGATGCCTAGGCCGGTTTTTATTTTTATTTTTTTTCGCCCGCCCGCTCCATTATTTTGCTAGAAAAATCCGTTAACCAAGAAATTAAATTGGTGTGGCCTTACAACACCCACCTTTTGCCAGGTGTCCGAAGTTATTGGGCAGGCGCTGCAGCTGGTTTCCCTGCAGCTGAAGACTGCGCAGCTGCGGAAGCTCACACAGGCTCTCGGGTACAAACATCAGCTGGTTGTTGGCCAGGGACAGGTGCAGAAGGTTCGACATGGAGCCTGTAGAAGGAGGGACAGAAAAACTTTGATGAAATTCAATGACTCGACTTTATTAGGATCCACATTGATCATAATGTACCTGACAGTAGCTTTTCTTCCAGTGGTCTGTTCTATTAACACACAACGCGACACACAGGAAAATATAGTTATATATTACAAAACACAAATACATTAAAAACAATAGTAGTTAGAGAAATCCATTGTTCTTAGATTACTGCTGCAGAAGTCTTATTCACATGAAGGGAAGCAGTAACATCTCTAGGCTAGCTGTCAACAGGTTGTTGTTTGTGAGACAGGTGGAGTCAGTTGAACCTAGAGCCAGGGATGGATGGAAACTTTCTTATGACCTCCAAAGAAGTCTTGTTTACATTAAGGAAGAATAATAATAATATTGTAAGGATTATAAGGAGTAACACTCAAGTATAAACATCAGCTGGTTGTTGGCCAGGGACAGGTGCAGCAGGTTTGACATGGAGCCTACAGAGGGAGAAAAAACTTTCATTCTAAGATTACTGCTGCAGAAGTCTTATTCACATTATGGGAAGCAGCATATAGTAGAGGGGAGTCATTCCTCAAGCTAACCGACATCTTGCACACACAGTCGTCCCTCAGTAAGACACCTGGAGCCGCATAGTTCCCGTTTAGAACTTTTATTCAGCCTGTCACACTCTGACGGCAGGTTGAATAAAAGTTCTAAACGGGAACTATGCGGCTCCAGGTGTCTTTTTTTGGAGAAAGATTTTTACGGCTGGATGCCCTTCCTAACGCCATCCCAAACGCTAGTAGGGCCCAGGATCCCTCTAACTGAGGGGGGAAATGCGTGTCAAGTGCCTTTCCCAAGGGCACAACGTCTGGGTGCATGTCCAGACATGTCTGGGTCCAGCCCTGGGGATTGAACCCGGGTTCCCGTGCTTGACAGTCAGATGCTCTATCCACTACACCACACAGACGCCACGACATAGACTATCATTATGATTAATCATTAGTAATCTTTGCTCAAACAACGACTACCCACCCATGACTGTAGGCAGCACCATGATGTTGTTGTTGTCCAGCACCAGCTCTGTCACATGCTGAAGCTCGGAGATCTCGTCAGGTAACGCCTGCACACCTGGGCCACCTGACTGGTCAAAGGTCAGCAGCTGCAGGTTGGGGATATAGCACACCTGGAACAACACAGGTGAGAAATTTACGCACAGGTACAGGTGTTCATATTGACTTGGCAGAATCAGTGGGAAAAGCATGTTGGCAGAACATACTGCTCCTGCACAAAACCCCCGTTTTTCATGTTTTTTTATCAACGTTGCATCAGAATTTTGCCTGTTGCAGACGACATTTTTTTTTAGATAACATTTGGAAACTACAGACGGGATGTTAACATTATATGTGCGAATACGACCACATATGAGACATTCTGTCAAAGTGCTATGCACAATACATTACGGGTTTTGCGCAGGTGCAGTATGCTCTGTCTCCGTGCTGGTGGCAAATATTATTTGGAAGACTATACTCTTAGGCAAAAGTCTTGCTCCCAAGTTAGTGATTGAATTTTGGGACAGACAGAATAGAAATGCTGTAGGTTTCTTATCTAAAACCATCATGATCACCAGATAATTAGTTTTGACTGTAACTAATTTGTACATGTTATTTGCCCTATCAGGGTTTTGTAACATGGGACTATACATGAAGTATTGGAGAACTATTCTGGGTTGGTCTTGGTTTGCAAGGAAGAAGGTTTAATGATTTTGAGACAGCTTTAGATTGTTGAGAATGAGTTCACTTAATGATAGAGTTATATAGTCAGGGCTAAAGAACAGGTAATGGAGGCTTTATATTAATACCTGTGTAGGGAACTCTGTGAACTGGTTATGGTTGAGACTGAGTTCCGTCAGGTTGTCCAGTTTCTTGACCTCTACTGCGACCTTGGTGACAAGGTTACGGGACAGGCCGAGACGTTCCAGCTTCCTCAAGGTGCAAATCTGGAACCAAAACAATAGCCAAAATTTCAGAATAATAGTTACGATAGATGTGATAGTATGTTCTTGACTGTTATTTCAAAAGTGTAACTATGAACTACATTGGCAAGCCAAATCCGTGTTTATTTTTGTACAATCTGATCCATCATTATTTGTCTGTAGCTTTTTCTCTACGATATCAACATGTATCTAGAAGTCTACAATGTATCTGTATCCGATTCGGTATAACCTGTAATGACTGTCTTTAGGCATAACACACCAGCTTCGCAGGCACGCAGCGCATCGGCAGCTGGCTACATCACACCGAACAACCTGTTACACTCAATGTTTGCACATTTTATTGCAGGAGTTTTTAAAGCTTTCTAATGATGATGCCCAAACTGTGCTTGGTGGCATTCTATGATAGTTCTTGGAAAATAAGAGATTTTGAACATCTCAATTCTTGGTTGATAACTCTGGCTGTTTCTTGTTTTTTTCTGGGCTGGTATCAGATACTTAGTGGTTGGCACATCCACTAGTTTATCAGTCAAGCATAGTCTTGCTAATCCACTAGGTTTTTATGTTTATAGTTCTGACCTCCTTGGGTAGTTCCCTGAACTGATTCCCGTTGAGCAGCAGAACTCTGAGTTTCCGTAGATGTGAGATCTCAGCTGGCACCTGGTCAACCTACAGGACAGGCAACATGAAACACTCAGGGGAAGGACAACAAACACGACCAGGATTTTATCATAATTCATTAGGAGGTTATGTGCTGAAATTTTGCCCTGAATATGCAGCACAGATACAACAAAATCATATACACACTCAGTGGTTCAATCCCTGGCATTCCTGGCTAGATATTGTGTCCTAGGAAAAATCTTTACAAGACTTTCTTCCTTCATCCAGGTGTAAAATGGGTACCTGACTGTGGTTGGGGAGGCAAAAGGCAGTGGAAGGAGAGGGATGGGCTCAGCCTTCCAATACCATACCATGCCCTAGACACAGTGGATTAAAAACCCACTTCCCCTACAGCTAAAAAAGGACAACTTTTACTTTTTATCTGTGGTAATGATAATAGGCCGCAAGCAGTCTGTATTGCCACACTAATTTATATCTTTGGTTCTCAAACAATACACTTAGATGTAAGAACAACACTGATATTTCAGCACCAGGGACAGCACCAGGCTAGCAAGCAAACCACTCCCACTACTGCCTCAAAAATGACTTCCTTTACCTCTACCTTTTACATCCAGGAGGAGTTTGGTTTTAGATTTAAAACAGTGTGTAAAACAGCTATCTAACACAAATGTGTGAGATGAAACTGTAGGGATATGATATCAAAATATTTTCCTATAAAGTTCTAAATGCCCCAGAATGTTTTCTACAGCTTGGTGGCACAGTCTTAAGCCAAAATCCTTGAGCTGCCACATACATGAGAGGTCAGGTGTTTTTAGGGCTAGGGTTAGGGTTAGTGTTGGTGTGAGAGTTAAGGTTAGAGTTGGGATCATTGGTCAGGGGTAGGGTTAGATTTACGATTGGGTTTAGGTTAGGTTTAGTCTCCCACATCACGACCAAACCCCTCCCACCCCTTGTCCCAGGTATATTGGAAACCCTCAAGTACCCTAGGAGTCATGTATTTGCCAGGGCCATGTAACATCCGTGTCCATAATATCACCAGGGTCCATAATATCGCCACCTTGAGAAATAGTGTGCTTTAAGATATTTTTACTGCAACATACTTTTGGTATGCACTCCTGCACACCTCAAATGTACATACCTAGGGTATGTTGCAGTAAAAATATCTTTAAGCACACTATTTCTCAAGGTGGTGATATTATGGACCCTGGTGATATTATGGACACTCATGTTATATGGCTTGACACGTTTCAGGCCATCACGGTTGACCTCTGACCTGGTTGTTGTTCATGCCCAGATACTCGAGCTGGACCAGCACACAGAGGCAGTCTGGGAAGTCCTCCAGCGCGTTGCTGCTCAGCTCAAGCTGCTTGATGTGGACCAGGTTGGAAAACTCCGGCCTGGAAACGAACAAAAGAACTTCTATGAATAGTTTCATCAGATTTGTAAGACACTGAGTGAAGAGACTCTTTTTATACATCCGAGTCTTTTATTCAACCGATGTTTTGGTGACCGTCTGAATCATGCATGTGTAGATATGTAAATATTGTACATTTGGGAATGCATCTATAGCAGAGACACCTGTGCTGCAGTGCGATGTGAACCAGTCAGAATTGCCCTGAGGAAGGTGACAGACTGTAACCAAAACGTCGGATGAATAAAAGACTTGGTTGTGTAAAAAGAGTCTCTTTATCCATGTATTTGTACACTTGTTGATGTTCCTCTTTTTTACATAGGCCTTTGGCCTGACCCAAAGAATAAAATAAATAGTAAAACTTACGGCAGTTCAGGGATCCTGTTGCCCTCCAGTGATAGCAGCTGCAGGTCGTACATGGAGCACATGCCCAGCGGCAGGTGGGACATCTGGTTATGGTTCAGTCCAAACTGCTGAACACGCTTCAGGTTAGCGATCTCCACTGGCAGGGAGTCGATCTTGTTACCTGTCATCGCTACAATCTGTAACAAAAACATGTAACATGTACAATGTAGCAATCTGATGGCTACAATCTGTAACAAAAACAGGCATCTGGTTATGGTTCAGTCCAAACTGCTGAACACGCTTCAGGTTAGCGATCTCCACTGGTAATGAGTCGATCTTGTTACCTGTCATCGCTACAATCTGTAACACAAACATGTAACATGTAGCAATCTCATGGCTACAATCTGTAACAAGGACATGTAACATGTAGCAATCTGATGGCTACAACCTGTAACAATGACAGACATTCATGTAACATGTAAGGTCAACATACTAACCTGTAGCTCTGTGAGTATACAGATATCGTCTGGGATATACTCGATGCTGTTATTTCCGATGTACAGTTCCTTCAGGTTGACCAGACTGGCCATGTGCTCAGGTAAGGCCTTCAGTCGGTTACTGTCTAGTCCTAATGTCTCCAGGTAACTCAGCTCACAAATCTCATCTGGCAGGACCTAGACATGCAAGAACACACCTCAGTAACAATATCTCCCCACTTTACTGATTACCGAGCTCACAAATCTCGTCCGGCAGGACCTAGACATGCAAGAACACACCTCAGTAACAATATCTCCCTACTTTACTGATTACCGAGCTCACAAATCTCATCCGGCAGGACCTGTGGCAGAGGTGTCAGAACAGAGGTGAACATTCCGGGTAATAATAAATTGTACAATTGTCTTACACTATCTCACTGTAAGTGTTAAGGTAAAGCATTTAGGCAGTTGCTGTCAAGTCTGTTGGATTTCCAGAAAGAATACAGAAGCATATAAAGTCCTCACTGAAGGTGGAAGTAGCTAGCTTTGGTTAGGGACATTGTCTTGGATCCCACCACATCTATCAAAAAACAGTAGGGGTGAATTGAACCCTACAGTCTGGCCTTATGTATCTTGTACTCACTGTACCAAACTGGTCTGTTATGCCCTCATGTATGTTAATGTTTGTGCAAACAAACAAATAAACAAACAAACAAACAAAACTCAAGAATACAGTTACCCAAGCAACTAGATATAGATTTTGAAAACTGCCATCCTGTCAGCCACAGACAAAAAGTAGTGGACAGTTTTCAAAATCTATCCAGTTGCTTGAGTATTATAGCTGTTTTGTTGAGTACTACCTCATTAGTACATGGATGTCTAATGTTCAACAATGAACAAACTAAACGTACCTCTAAGTGGTTACTGTTGAGTCCGAGGATGCGCAGCTCCTTGAGCCGGCTGATCTGCGGGGAGAGAGACTTGAGCTGGTTGTTGGACAGGGCCAGCTCCTCCAGACACTCCAGCCAGTACAGCTGTGGGGGGATAGGTCAGAGAAAGGCAAATGTCAATCATTGTAGTTCATGGGTCAACAGTTAAAACATGATGAACCAAGGGAGCACCTTTGTGAGGGTCTGCATGGGGGTCCTGGCAACAGTCAACGGTAAATTCAGCAGGGCTGACGCTTGATGGTAAGTTCAGGGCGGTCAGTAACGCTTATCAGTAAATTGATAGGCTATACTGATAATGCGTAACGTTGAATTAGAGCAGGCCGGCAACGATTAACGGTGAATTTAAAATAGCCCATAATGAAAAATGGTTAATGAAAAAGGGCATGCAGGCCCTGCTTTGTGACAGCCTGGCTAAATAGTGCTCCCACAATGGTCAAAATTCACATTCGTCTCAGATATAAAAGAGGAACCATACTACATAACAGTACTGATGAACACCTAATTCTCAGACAGGGCCAAATAAGCAGTTTCAGAAGTTTTAGAAGCTCTAAGATTCTTTATCGACAAACATGATCCAGTTCTTTGACTGACCTGTACAGGCAGGTACTGAATCTCGTTATCGTTGAGCAAGAGTTCCCGCAGGTTGGACAGGTTTTCCATTTCGGCCGGGAGGTGCTTCAGCCCGTTCCCCGACAGTCCCAGCTTGATCAGCTCGTCCAGCTCACAGATGCCCTTCGGCACGCGCTCCAGTCTGCAGGGGGAACAGCAGGGGGAGACCGTGTTAATGTCAGACCAGCCGTGGGAGACCATGTTAGCTAGGGACATTGTCAATAGATAGCTTTAAACAATGTCTAGAGTTAGAAGTTCAAGGGTTAGGTGTAACAAGTCGATTGGTTTAATGTAGCTAGCTGCCGCCGCGCCGCGTGCCTGCAAAGCTGGTGTGTTACGCCGAAAGGCAGTTATACCGGCTATACAGATACAGATACAGACAAAAGTTTTTTATTTATTTTTTTAATGAAGATTTACCGCATTTGTGGAACAGGTGACTGTCAACCCTGAGACCAGACTGTAAGGTTTGAACCACTCACACCGGGAAGGTCCCCTACTCTTTTCGATAAGTGCGGTGGGTTCTCTAACATGCATGCTGTGTGACTCTCTCAAACACGGGACCTCCATTTAACGTCCTATCCAAGGGACATCCCTAACTGAAACTAGGTACTTGTTATAAATCTACACCTGAGTGAAGTGAGGAAAGTCGTGTTAAGTGCCTTTCCCAAGGGCACAAGATCGGTGACATGGTAGGATTCAAACCCGGGGCCTTTCAACAAGTGCATAAAACAAAAACTGACCTGTTATTGTCGAGTCCGAGGATCTTCATCTTGGTGAGGTTCCTGACCCCGGGGGGAAGTGAGGTCAGCTGGTTATCATTCAGACCCAGAACCTCCAGCTGCTGCAGGGAGCAGACTTCATCTGGCAGGGAGGACAGGAGGTTTCTGTTTGCATACCTGCAGGAACAGAGATGGGACAATGTATGTACAACCATAACTCTAACTCTAACCCTAACCCAGAACCTCCAGCTGCTGCAGGGAGCAGACTTCATCAGGCAGGGACAACAGGAGGTTTCTGTTCGCATACCTGGAGAAACGGAGATGGGACAATGTATGTACAACCATAACTCTAACTCTAACCCTAACCCAGACCCTCCAGCTGCTGCAGTGAGCAGACTTCATCAGGCAGGGAGGACAGGAGGTTTCTGTTTGCATACCTGCAGGAACAGAGATGGGACAATGTATGTACAACCATAACACTAACCCTAACCTTAACCCTAACCCAAAACCTCCAGCTGCTGCAGCGAGCAGACTTCATCAGGCAGGGAGGACAGGAGGTTTCTGTTCGCATACCTGCAGGAACAGAGATGGGACAATGTACGTACAACCATAACACTAACCCTAACCCTAACCCTTAGACCCTAACCCTAACCCAGGACCTCCAGCTGCTGCAGCGAGCAGACCTCATCTGGCAGGGACGACAGGTGGTTTCTGTTTGCATACCTGCAGGAACAGAGATGGGACAATGTATGTACAACCATAACTCTAACTCTAACCCTAACCCAGGACCTCCAGCTGCTGCAGGGAGCAGACTTCATCTGGCAGGGACGACAGGAGGTTTCTGTTCGCATACCTGGAGAAACGGAGATGGGACAATGTATGTACAACCATAACTCTAACCCTAACCCAGGACCTCCAGCTGCTGCAGCGAGCAGACTTCATCTGGCAGGGACGACAGGAGGTTTCTGTTTGCATACCTGCAGGAACAGAGATGGGACAATGTATGTACAACCATAACTCTAACTCTAACCCTAACCCAGGACCTCCAGCTGCTGCAGGGAGCAGACTTCATCAGGTAAGGAACTCAGGAGGTTCCTGTTTGCATACCTGGAGAAACGGAGATGGGACAATGTATGTACAACCATAACTCTAACCCTAACCCTAACCCTTAGACCCTAACCCTAATCCAGAACCTCCAGCTGCTGCAGTGAGCAGACTTCATCAGGGAGGGAGGACAGGAGGTTTCTGTTCGCATACCTGGGGAAACGGAGATGGGACAATGTATGTACAACCCTAACCCTTATTCCTGATCTAACCCTAACCTAACTACAACCTTGTCCAACCATGTACAGCCATAGCCCCAACCCTAACAATAACCCTAAAGGTTAAAGGTTTTGGGTACGAATACCACTTATGTTGTGCCTGCAACCGTATGAAAGATTTAAAGGTACCTCAGAGGGTTCAAATCCCTAGCAGGCCTAATGTTGTGCCATTGTATAGAAATGAAATGAAAGCCTCTGAGCTTTTGGGGAAGTAAGTTTAAGTACATACTACATGATTATTATGCTGTCAAGGTTCAAGACAGTTTCAGTTGTGAGCATTTTGTCAGTTATGTGAATTTTTTAAAAACTACTAACAATAGACTTATAAAATCATACTGCTGACGAGAGTTGTAACGTACAGCTGGTTGAGGTGCTTGAGGTTCCCGACGTCGCGGGGTAACTCTGTGAGCTGATTGCCGCTGACCTCCAGAACCTTCATGGCATGGAGACTGAACATGGTGGGGGGCAGGCAGGGCAGCTGGTTATCCTGGATAGCTAGGACCTGGAGGAATTACAATAGCAAGCATCATCAAGACATGTCTGAAAATCTTAAGAAAACTTAAGAACGTGACATCACAATGTCACAGTTACACTTGTCAATACAACAAGTCAGCAATAACCAAGGATAACCTGGGCGTCATCCTTGTTGGTATTTCCATGGCTCCCAAACTCCCCTTGTACAGACTAGTTAACTACGATGGTACCCCGAGACTGGGTATAAAGCATAGATACACTCCTATATATACATTAAATTTTATAGGAGGCATTGACATATCATGACATTGTACATTTCATTTCAAGCACTTTGGTCAGTAAGAACTTGCCATAAGATTGTAACCATCATGTACCTATAGTTTTTAGTGTACTGCTTACGTATCACCATCTCAATACACAGAGGGCTTCCTCCTGCTCACCTGTACATTCTTGAGTTTCCTGATGTCCCTGGGTACATGGCTGATGCTGTTGTTCCCCAGGAACAGACAGTTCACCTGTACCTGTGTGTTACCTGTAGTTTGTAGTGTACTCACCTGTACATTCTTGAGTCTCCTGATGTCCCTGGGTATATGGCTGATCCCGTTGTTCCCCAGGAACAGACAGTTCACCTGTACCTGTGTGTTACCTGTAGTTTCTAGTGTGTTCACCTGTACCTGTAGTGTGTAGTGAACTCACCTGTACATTCTTGAGTCTCCTGATGTCCCTGGGTACATGTGAGATCCCGTTGTTCCCCAGGAACAGACAGTTCACCCGTACCTGTGTGTTACCTGTAGTTTGTAGTGTACTCACCTGTACGTTCTTGAGTTTCCTGATGTCCCTGGGTACATGGCTGATCCCGTTGTTCCCCAGGAACAGACAGTTCACCTGTACCTGTGTGTTACCTGTAGTAGTGTACTCACCTGTACATTCTTGAGTTTCCTGATGTCCCTGGGTACATGGCTGATCCCGTTGTTCCCCAGGAACAGACAGTTCACCCGTACCTGTGTGTTACCTGTAGTAGTGTACTCACCTGTACATTCTTGAGTCTCCTGATGTCCCTGGGTACATGGCTGATCCCGTTGTTCCCCAGGAACAGACAGTTCAGCTGTACCTGTGTGTTACCTGTAGTTTGTAGTGTTCAACTCACCTGTACCTGACAGTGTGTGGTACCTGTAGTTTGTAGTGTACTCACCTGTACATTCTTGAGTTTCCTGATGTCCCTGGGTACATGGCTGATGCTGTTGTTTCCCAGGAACAGACAGTTCAGCTCCTCCATGCTGAAGATGTCCGGTGGAATCTCACACAGCTCGCGGCCGTGGAGGCTAAGACAGAACTTCCCACTGCCACTCACATACACCTGTACAGACACAGGGAATAGGAAGATTATCTCTCACACTGCCACTAACATACACCTGTCCCATTGGAATACATGTACAACCACATCAAAGCTTGAGGATCACAGAAGCAACAGGTGTCACTCCAGGTGTGCCTTCTGCCACCAAAATGCCCACAGCAAGGAAACAGCCATTTTCCCACACAAGCACACATTCCTCTTTCCAGCTCAGCAACAAGGATTCAAGGTTCTCACCAGGATTTTTTCACAGCATAGGGATCAGGTACAGAAGGGCAACTTCCGCGGTGCAAGTCACGCATTGAGTCCCAAAAACATTATATAGGGGGTCTGGTATTCTCCCCCAAAAAGATTTTGTAGCTCATAACCCCAGAGACACTATTTCTTGCATATTTTGTATTCCCTTTGTCATATCTTCATTCTTAAGTAATATTTTCATTTTTTTGAAGGTTTATGAAGGTTCTTCCCCCCAAAACCCCTGCACCGGTTGAAAAACAGTGTAGGGGGCTAAATCACAGCTACTCTCGAATAGCCTAGTGAAAAGGTTATGTCTCCATGGCAACCCCGTAACTATGGCAACGGAGGCTCACCTCGGCCTGGATGTCGTCTGGCTGGTCCAGCGAGGTACTGCTGCCTCGAGACATGCTGATGAGTCGCACCTGGGTCGCCATGGCAATGGGAGAACTGCTGCTGGTGACGTTTGAATTATAGAATGCTGGGCTGTGATTGGTCGTCTCCTTGGTTACTGCATCAGGTGACTGCTGCCATGGTCACATCTTACTGCATTTTCTGGAAATATCAAGAAGAAAAAAATGTCATTACGGAAGATCAAAGCATTGTTGACCAGGAAGGTTTAGAATTTCATTGAAGACCTCTTTCCTGAATCAATTTTTGTATATTCATTTTTGCCTTGGGACCAGATCTTTATATGAATGGTTTTCACTTAAATTCAATACTATAATCATTAAGAGTTGTCAGTTAAAACAACACGTTGTTTCGGCATTTTCCAATTGCACACTGAGAGTGACATTGCTCCTACAATATTATATACTTCTGCTACATTAAAATGCCCTGGAACATTTTGTACTTGAAGCATAGTAGGTAAATCTGTGAAAGTTTTTATATATTTGTTGTACCAAGTCTATTTCTACAGCAAGAAGGAAAGAAAGAAAGGAGAGTCTTGTTCTGACTTGTTTCCCTCTTGATCCAGCCCTTGTTATGGTTGAGGGGTGATAGAGTGGAGGGTTGTTTGGATAACTCGGTGCTTAAGTCAATAGCAACACTGAACTGTACACAAACCTGTAACAGGTGGCATGGGGAGGGGTGGGGGGCTGGAAATACTTACAATCTAGTTCTTAATTTTAAAAAATAAGAATGATGTACATGTTGTACTAGTAAGGATGTTATCAAAAGCAAATTTTCTGATTTTTTATTTGTTTGCCTGACAGATCTCAATTAGTGAGCACAACGTAATAATACTACGTACACTTAGCCTTCCTGGAGTCATAAAAGTTACACAATACACTGTATAAAACCTATAGCACATAACATAACCTACACAATTTTCTGATGTCCTGTTTTTATTAAGGTTTTAAACACTGGCTCAAAGACAACATCTTCAAACTGAGGCGAATCTACGGTCAGTACAACGAAACCTGAATGCATTACTGTTACGATGTTTAGTGAATAAGAATATGATGGCAATAAAAGGATCAAGTGTAGTTCAAAGGTCCTACTACTCTTAGTACTTGGCTACACTACCAGTGAGTTATTAGCTGTTTCAGGTCTAAGGTTAAGATTTTCCTGTTACCTGATGTGTTTGCATGGAGAGATGATATTCTGTACTCCTAACATTTACTAAGAATAGCAGGTACATTTAGTAAGAATAGTCAACTACCCGCCCAAGGTATCCTGGATCTTTTGGGTGATTCGGTTTGTGCGCTGGTTGTGAGTTGACACGCTGCGCGAGCAGCACGGGTTCGATTCCTGGGGGTCAGAGTCAACCTTCGAGTTACTCCATTCTCTGTGTTACAGCAGTATCAACATCCAGCACAAACCTATAATCTATCATCATTGAAATCTATCCAGAAACTTGAAGGTTAAGTGCATCTCTTCAGTTATTATTGCAAGGTTTAGTTAGTAACCTGGTACTACTTGTTAATACTTCAAGGAAAAACATGCTGAAGTACAAAGATGGTATCATGTGGCTGGAATAACATCGGCCGCTGCTATTCCGAGGTTAAGGGGGAATTATGTTTCCAGCGAGGGCTGTTGTTTCAGGCTATTTTTACTTTAAACAATCATCCTCTATATATTAGAGTCTGCATGATACTAGCATGTTTTTAGTCTGTAGATACAAGGACCTTAGCCTCTGTAGCAGGCTTATAGAACTGGGATTTGGTGGTCTTCGGCTGTTTTCTGATTAGCCCAGTTCTAAAATACGGGGGTAATTCAACCAGACTGGCTATGTTGTCTATATGCAATCAGAAAATAGCACATAAAAGATCCCAAAGACCACGAAGACCCCCAGTTTTTGGCATGCAATGAAGGCTACAAGGACCTTATGATTTAATTTAGGCAAAAATGTAAAACCTTATTAATGCAGCAAGCAAGCAGAACCTCCTTGACTGAAATACTTTCCGTTGTCAAGATACTTTGTTTGTTGCACCCCGAGGCCACCGTTGCTTTTTTTTTCCAGAACTGATTCAAGAAACAGCTAATTGAATTATTGCGGCCTAATATAATTCCACTCATATTACACACATAACCAGGCAACCACTGATGAAGTCCATCTGTTTTGCTACATAATCATTGTTGCAATCTGTATAATGAGAAGTCGATTTGTTTTGGTTATATCCTGTAGCCTCCTTGGGGAATTTATGCTTTTGTGTAGTCATCATTTCGACCTGGATCTTTCAAATTCTCCCGTATAATTACTCATCCATCTATCATTCCCACAATAACACACCTGTTTTTGTTCGTAGGTAACAAAAGTGCTACAACCGGGAAATAAATGACCTCAGATTGGGATCTAATGACTTCTGCCTCCCGCAAAGACGCCTTGAGAAAAATAAGACCATTTTCTGCAAGTTTACGGCGTCTTGGGCGGTTTTGCGCGTTCTTATGACATTAAGATATCACTACGGAAACGTAATAGTCGGTAGATTTGTAGCAATCCCGGTGGATTTGCCACTACAAAGGCGGCGGGATTGTAGCAGTCAAACTAACTAGCGGGGAATGGCAACAAATTTGTAACATTTACACTGCGGGGAAACTGACACCGGATACAGGTATTCTGTCGGTCGCAAACATCGCATGATCATGCAAAAGTGTCAAGTTTGGCCAAAAGTTGACGAAAAAAGTGAATTTTGAGGTGAAAACGCGCAGGTAACTCACCTGAACTAGCGGTCTCCAACACCGCACGGCGTCCTGGGGCGAGTTAGCAACCGGGTCACGTGGTACAATTACACGGACCGTACCATTGCGTGACATTCTGGGGGTCTTGTAAACAAACGTATCTAAAACAATAAGTAAGGGTACGTCCTTGTTAAGCTATTGTTGGCAACAATCACGTTAATATTTAACGGAATAATATTGAAATATAAGATTTCTACCAGCAAAAACGCTGTAATTTTTGCTTGCAAAATACTCTCTTCATACAGTCACCCCTATCGGTAGTTGGTTGGACGAACCAACTATCCGTGCTCAACTCACTAACGCCTCCTGCCGATGTTACGAGGAACTGCAACAACACACACACCTACCAGTTATCTTTTTATTTCGCAGTCAAAATCATGGTCAACATACAGACAATTGAATCACTTTCTGTCTTCTTGAATGTATTACATCGATTTATATACCGTGGAACTTAATATCCACAACAATTTGGAAACAGAGAATGCAAAATTGTGACACAAGTAGCAGCTAAATGGTTACATTTCTGTCACATTAAGCATACATGTATGCTAGGCCATACTTCCACAGAAATATCATATTTATGTTTCTAACTGATTCCAGGCATGGTTGTCAGTTCAAAAGAAGACTACATGTAGGTACAGCACAGGAATGGCACATGTCCATTGCCATGTAGCAGTACTAAAAGTATCCAGTATTTGACTGCTTACCCTTAAAAAAGCTACAATTTTGTATTGCATAACAAAACTGTCCTTTGCAGCTTGCATCACATCTTCTTGTTCTGTCCCTATGCAGTTGCTATACTCTCATGGTTCATCAAATAAATCCTTATTCTGCAGCACATATTTACAATATCACACAGCACCAAGATTTAATTAAATACCTATGTTGTAGGATACTTATGCCAAAAAGCAGTTACTCAAGCAACTGGATATGATTTTGAAAACGTCAGACGTTTCAGCTAGTATCCACTAGCTTTCGTCAGTGACTGAGAGACCAGAGGGGAAAGCAGGTTTATATACACAACCTGTTGATTGATATGCAAATAAAGTGAAGACAAATTTTTTGGAAGTCGAAAAAGGAACAAAAGTCAGACAAGTCAAGACAAGATGATGCAAATTAGTCTGAAAGCTCCTGTTATACAGGACAGGAGCTTAAGTGTTGTCTGCCCTTGGGGCTGGGAGTGCCAAATCCCAAGTGCCGGAAAGATCGACCCGTAGCCCCCCTAGTGGATACTAGCTGAAACGTCTGACGTTTTCAAAATCATATCCAGTTGCTTGAGTAACTGTTTTTTGGCATATCGTATTACCTGGATGTCTAACCTTCATCGACGTATGTAGGATACTTAGATAACTGATCTGGATGGAAGAATGGCCAAATGGACAAAACACTTATTGCACCTTCACATACTAGTACCCCAAAGGGCATAGCACAGATTCTTATAACAGTAAATTCAAATGTACAATGTATCTTTTGTATCAAAGAAAAGAATCCTTCAGCTTCAGTTTTTTGAAACCGGAACTTACAAAGTTGAAGCTAATATGGGGCTGTGGTGGGGCCCATGAGTCTCCTGCCACCTTAGGACTGGGGGTATCAGTTTTGAGAAAGCATACTCTCCAAGCAGAGCTTTGGGGTTGTTTTTAGTGTGTTTTAGGCTTTTTTAAACCTCTGCTTGGAGAGTAGGGTAAGAGGTGAAAACACCCATCAGGGTTTGTGGGTGAACTGGGAGGAGACCCAGGCCAGTCCCCACTTCAGGTTGGTCAGCATGAACTTCAGCGCTTTCGTCCACTGCTCCTCCGAGTTGAACTGGATTCTGGGAAGGAAAAGGGACAGGATGTTTAGGAAGAAATTTCAGTGTTCAATCTTCCAACAAACTAATGGTAGTAACAGTTCTAGTAAAGAAGATAGTATGGACTGCAAACTGTGATCAGATCTACTGAGATCATCTGTCAACATAAAATAGGTGCTGTTTCTTCTTCATAAAATAGGTACTGTACAGTTCTCCTAAAACATTTATTATTTGATCAAATTGTATTTTTCTTAGTAAAATCGAACACAAAGATGCTCATCAATTGGAACATAATTGCAGAATCATTATACATTTATTTGCAAACGACAGCTACACAGATAAAGAACATGTACTTGATCTTTACCAGGTGCAAACTGACAAAGAGACTTACTTGATAGAGTAGGATCCCCCGGACCCTCCTGTGTCTTCTATCTTCCCATTGGCCATTCTGCAGGGGATAGAGTACAAACCTGGGTTAACCTGTCATCTACAAAGGGTGACACAATGCATGATACAGAAACACTCTTGTCCACTCTTTGTAGTAGCATGCAGATTGGATGTCCAACAACAGTCAGGGACCTTCAGTGGTGCCTCAATGGTTGAAATAATTACACCAAGGAACAGAAGATCAGAAGAGAGTTCTTTAGGACAACACATCGATGATGCTACTCTTGTACGTATATATGACAAATTTCTCTACGCAACAAAATTTGACCAAACCCTTTCAATAAGATCGACAGAAGCCAGTGTACTACTAGACACTCAATGAAGCAATTGTTATCATGGCAATGTAAAATCTGCACTTGTTATTTTAGTTTCTCACCTATAAGGTAAACAAAAGCCAGTATCCCCCCTCTCCACCCTCTCCTTAAACTGCTGCAGACAGTCCAGGAAGGCCACCATCGCCTGGTCAAACTTCGTGTCCCAGAAGAACCGGAAACCACCGGAGCCATAGCTGAAAAAAGAGGGAAGAAATTTTCACCAGGGATTGAGTGTGGTACTTTTTCAAGGCCTTTATATTTTGATGAACTTGTTGTTTGCAATGATCACAGCAAATGGAAGAGCATTAGCACATCCGCAGAACGTACTGCACCTGCACGAAACCCGTAATGCATTGTGCATAGCACTTTGGCAGAACGTCTCAAACAAGGCCTTATTTGCGCATATAAGGTTAATATCCTGTCTGTAGTTTCCAAATGTTCTGTCAGAAATGATATCTTCTGCAACAGACAAAATTCTGATGCAACATGGGCCATAAATCCAATGAAAACCATGAAAAATGGGTGTTTCGCACAGGCAACAAAGGTCTTTATCACTATCATAATTGTTAAGTTGTTATCATCAATCCTAATGACAGGGAAGGCTGTCATCAATGAAAATTGAAGGTAACTCAAAGATACACAGATCCCTTGTATCTTGTAGGTAAGATAAGAAGGTTACTCACAGTGGCAGCTCCTTAGACTTGTCAGTGAGAGACTCCAGGAAGGAATGGTTACCGTAGGGGACCAGCCGATATCTGCAGGGGAGGGGGACAACAGGTCAGGTTAGACAGCACATGGCAAAATGTCAGGCAACACATTTCTTAGCACTTCAATCCTGAAGGATGAGTTATCATTCTGTAGAAGTAGAAATCAACTGCAGGAACTGTTACTCCATTATCTTTACACACAACAGCTGCTTAGATTAGCTAATTAGTAAGCCATCTCCATACATGAGGTACTCTACTGAATTAAGCAGACCCAACCATATCTGACATGAGTCCAGTCCACTAATACTTCTTACGATGTTCATCCAGAGAAACCAGTGATTTTACTCCAAGCACAGTCTTACTCTTAATTTCTGAGGAGATCCATGCCCATGTACTAACCCTTAGAAACTGACATTCAACTTGCGCCCAGATAAATATGAACCACAGTTCGACCTGACCCCTAACCCATTACCTCTAACCCATGACCCCATAACCTTGACCCCTGACCTTTCAAACTTGAGGTTCATCTTCTTGGCGAGTGAGTGCAGCAGCAGCACGGTCTGACCCCAGGCCGCGTTAGACCTGACCCCTAACCCATGACCCCTAACCCTTCGAACTTGAGGTTCATCTTCTTGGCGAGTGAGTGCAGCAGCAGCACGGTCTGACCCCAGCTGCATTAGACCTGACCCCTAACCCATGACCCCTGACCTTTCGAACTTGAGGTTCATCTTCTTGGCGAGTGAGTGGAGCAGCAGCACGGTCTGACCCCAGGCCGCGTTGATCTCGCTCCACTCCACGGGCACGCTGGGAAGGCGGCCCAGACGGAAGTTGTTGATGGTCCCAAAATGGCCGCTGTGCCTGAGGAAGAAAAAGTCACAGATCTAGAGGTCAGACATAATAAGGTTTATAATTGCGGCATAGATTTGTTTTGTCAATCTACACACAATGGTTGCTAAGAATGCTGAGACTGAATCAAGTACATTTCAGTAGCAACAAGCTACACTAATTTTGCCTTTGGTTTCTAAAGTAAGTTCAGAACAAAAAAGTTCTAAAACACAGGCCAATAAGGGTGATTGGGGTTGACATACATTAATACTACTACTTAGAACACAAAAAAAGAACAAGAACAATGCCACAAAGTTGAAGTAAACCTCACCATATATGGAACGTAGCGTTGAAGACGTTGGTTTTGCGTAGTTTGTCCAGCTGGTACTGAGCGTAGCGGAGCTGGTTATCCACGCTGCGCTGGTCATCCTCCAGCTCCAGCAGCTGCCGCTTGTACTCACCGTACTCCTGCCAGTACCTGCTTAGGGCACAGCAAGGTCAGGCAAGGTCACATAAAGGTCATAGCAAGGTCACATAAAGGTCAGGGCAAGGTCAACATTAGCACTGACCAGCAGCTGCCGCTTGTACTCCCTGTACTCCTGCCAGTACCTGCTTAGGGCACAGCAAGGTCATGGCAAGGTCACTACAAGGTCACATCAAGGTCATGGCAAAGGTCATGGCAAGGTCATGGTTAGTGGTAACCAGCAGTAGGGGTAACAAATGCTGCTCATGAAATTCTCTACCTTAGTTACTGAAAATCAACTGTGTGAACTGTCTCTTAATTATTTGACCTATAAGCACACAACAGTATACACACTGATACCAGACTCACTTCTCCTCCTCCTGGTCCAGCCGTTCCGACTCGGCCGTTTCCACGACGACCTCCCGCGCGATGTCGGAACGTTCCGTCTCCACCTGCTCCAGAACACGCATCAACTCCTTCTCCTCGGCCTTCAACTGAACAACACAAAGCTGTCAGTTTCACAATCATACAGCAGGCAGTTTCAGTTTCTAGACTGTACATTTATCAATTTTGCGATGGTTTTATTTTGTGGTAGAAGAGAAAAGAAGGTTGAGACAATGCTGCAGTACAGTAATGATGTACAGTGTAATGCGTGTCATATTGAAATTGGGGCAACGAAAATGAAACGTTTCAAAATCTACATTATATAAAGTTTATGATATTGATTGAAAATAAAACTACAGTTTAAGTTTCAAAATCTACTGTAACATTATATTAAGTTCATGATATTGATGACAGTCACTCTCTTGGAGGCCTCACATGTACTCAAATTTTTGTAGACCCAAGAGGACATCATGCTAGAAACTGGCATACACTTCTGTGAATGCAAAAAAAACTGCAGTACTGAGGTTAAGATGAGTCAAACCTTGTTAAGTTGAGTCTGTAGCTGCTGCTCCTCTGTGCTGTGGTCCTCTGTCAGCTTTAGCTTCTCCAGAAACTCTCTGGGAAATACAACATTGGGATTGGTCAGTGGAGAGGCAGGTTGTCATGATCATCACATAGTCTTTACTTTAGTACTGTAAATCAGTCTCATAGTTTACATGTTTGTTGTTCTGTAGCAGAATATGCCATACGCTGTACCACAAATAATTGTTATTTATCTATGTTACGTGTTTTCTACTTCAAAAGTGTACCAAGTACATAGATAGCCTCGGTGCCATCCTATTTGTATGCTGAGGCTCACATACTTGCTACCCGAAAAATATTTTTAGGGAGCAAATATAGGAGCCTTGGAATACAAATAGGATGGCACAGAGGCTACTAATCAACTTTACATGGCCTTAACTCCCACCTGTAGTCCTTACACTCATCCTCTATAATCCTGAGCTGCTGGTCCAGCTGGTCTAGGAGGGTGTCTGTGCATTCCTGAGGGGACAGGGAACAGTTAACCCTCTGTATACATACACTGTCAAACCAATACATGACAGTTTTTCTTCAGTTCAGCCAGTAGGAAATTGAGAATTGTAGACCTAGTCAGACAAAGGTTGTAAAGTGTACAGGCATGATAAGTGTGAAGACTAGTGAAAAGAATTTTTCTGAGAAGCAAACAAAGCAAAACTTATGCTATGTTACAATAAGATTTGTAAAATTTGATGTTCAATAACATCAGAAGGGTATTTATTTTGTACAAATGCCCTTGATCAGTGAATAATGCTCATCATAGTTATATGTAATAAGGAAATGTCATTGGTGTCACAAGCATGATAACTCACCTCATACTACATTTATTTGTCCGTAAATAATTTCATCAGGTTGGAAGATACTTAGGGTATAGGATTTTCTTCTAACACAACCAGTAAGGTTCTCACCTGCTTACGTTTCGATGTCTATCAGACACCTTCCTCAGAGCTTCTGACTGGAGTTCTGCAACTCGCCGCTATTTAACGCCAAAACAGATCATGTTGCCAGAAACAATTGTGGGATAGACTGGGAGGGTGCCAGGGTCATAGACAGGGAGGACAACAGAAGAATCCGTTGGATTAAAGAAGCAGTCTGGATAAGGAAGTCTGATGAACCGGGACGAGGGGGGATACAAGCTCAGCCACGTTTGGGATTGCATTCTCGCCGCAAAAGCGCCACCTACTTTGACGTTAAATAGCGGCGAGTTGCAGAACTCCAGTCAGAAGCTCTGAGGAAGGTGTCTGATAGACATCGAAACGTAAGCAGGTGAGAACCTTACTGGTTGTGTTAGAAGAAAATCCTATACCCTACATTTATTTGTGTTTCTGACACTTGCTTGCAATACAAAAGTATGTAAGCAGTTGAACTGAACTTGGGAGAAAATATGAGATGCTAGTATTTGGAAGATCCCACCTCACAGAGGGGGTGGTCCACGTCTGTCTGTCCTGACATGATGTCAAACAGGTGGCTGGTGACCTTTAACCTATGACTGGGGTTGTCTCTGCCGTCAGCGTCGATCAGGGTGAAACCACTGCCGCTCTCCACCGAGGTCAACCTGGGTCAGAGTACAAAGGTAAGAGTTTATGTCTTGGGTCAAACATACATGGGTCAGAGTTCATGTCTTATTGGCATGCCATCTTGTTACACATTCAAATATACAGTCAAACCTGTACAAGTGGGCCATTCTACATAAGGGCAACTTAGTCATTGAGACTACCTTTCGATGGTCCCTTAATTTTACCCATCAACACAAGAATCCTGTCTACAGTGACCACCTGTACACATAGACAGGAGTTTATCTGACTGAGTGGTCTTACTGCTCAGTTTTGACTCACAGTATCACTGAACGTACCCAAGCAACCACCTCTATAAGCTAATCATCTGGCCATGACAACCACTTTTTCTCTGTACCAAGTTTTTCCCCCGAAGGTACAAGCATGAAGCAACCTGTCAAAGAGAGCCACCTGCTAGCCTGGGTGACAGCCCCTACTGTAAGTGATCATCCATTCGGCCAGAGAAACCATACGCCCCGCTAACCCTGAGTTCGCACCGTGGCTCCAAAAGGTAAAGGGTTTGGGCGGATACTATGTTGGTAGAAGACATTAGTGTTTCTCCCCCACAAATCTGTTCAAACGCCAGCGTCTGGCACTCAGACTAGCCACCTGCCCAAGGAGACCAACTAAGTCCTCTGGACAACCTTCTTGGGCAGGTTTGAAGCTAAGATTGTTACCTAGCGGCAGGTATGAGTTTCCTGATGACTCCGTCCTCCCGAGCCTCCTCAAACCGGCTGTCCTGTCTCCCCCTCTCCTCTTGCCTGACCCCCTCCCCCTCCTCCCCTGACACCAGCGGTGCGGTCAGCTCATCGATGGTTCCCTGGTCCAGCGCTGTGAGAGATGCGTCCAGTCTGTAACAACACAAGCATTGAAACAGATAGTTATTTATTTACAATATTAATTATTCGTTGAGATTTACCACATTTGTAAGAACTGATGCAATAGGTGGCTATTATGCATTGTATTTTTAAGACGTCAACACAGAGACCAGACTGGTGGGTTTGAATCACTCACACCAGGAAGGACGGCTATATTCTTTGCGATATTTAAGTGTGGTTGGTTCAAAACCCAGGACCTCCAGCTTTATGTCCCATCAGAGGGGATGTTCAGATCTCCAAGTCTTTTTTTTTTTTTTTTTTTTTAATTCCTTTATCCACACAACATTTACATGTACATTGTAACATTGTAAAAGGACAACAATACGTGTACATTATATATAAAAAAAAAACCAGACAACCCTATTTATACAAAGAGAATTCTGTTTTAAACATATTAGCTATTGCAATCCAGATCTCCAAGCTGATCCTGTTCACTGCCTGGTCAACTGGATAGTGTATAAATTATCTGTCAATGAAGGTTAGACATCCAGGTAATACGATACACCAAAAAAGCAGTACT